CACGTTTACACTCTTGTTTTGAAGTCGTTCAACAAGATGGCGGGTCGCTAGCTAGCATTGCTAACTGGTGTGGTAACGTGCGCCGGCTTCACCCCCCCCCCCCTGCAGGCTGAAGCAACATGTCATCTCATGCACGAAGCTTCATGTCGTCCCCCGGCTGCAGAACGTTAGCCCTCGTCCGGTTTACTTGTTGCTAACTTGCTAGCGTCGTGCAAATAAACGCTGTGTTGTTGTGCGGATAAGCTAGTTAGCTCGTCGTGTTAGCACGCTCGCTACAAACTAACACCGTGTAAATCTCCACTCATCACGTTCATCGTAGATTATTTATTTATTTTTTATTTTTTCATTGTGAGAATGAATCTTGACATTTTGAAAGTGTCGCTAGCTCTCGGAGCATGTGAACGCGAGCGTCTTCCTCCGCCTCTGGGAGTTGTAGTTTCATTGCGCAGCGCTCCCCTGCTTGGCTCTGCGTCCGCGAACTACAAACTCCCGTGATGCCCCGCGCGATCGCCGCCAGAAAGGCGTGAGTGACTGAAACAGGCGGCGAACGAACCTTCACACCGGAGCAGAGCCGCGGCTGCACGTGGGGCTCGCGCAGGTTTTCGTGGCCGGAATGCATTTAAATAAAGTTTCATGAAGTAAACTTCATGACGAATCTGACACCTGAGAGTTTGTTTATCTCCAGAAACCAGATTAATAAAACTATAACGTGTGTGGTAGCAGGTTTGCGTCGATAAATTCAAAATGCACCTGGGGAAAAAACAAGTGCACAAAGAAAACACATGGGGGGGGGGGGGGTGTATGGTAAGGATGTAGGGTTTGAGGAATATTTAACTTGAGCTTGAGTTATAAGTTATATAAGAATGTGGGACTCGCTTGTCTGGTCTGTCAAACAGTTGGTTTAGAAGCAGCACAGTTGCACAATGTCTGTTAACAAACAGCTTCAGGGCAAAGTCCACGTTCACTGGTCATCTCGGGGACTGAAGTCCTGACCGGATCGTTCAGGACATACGGCTCACTTGGTTTAGTTCAGACGCTGACACAGATGGAGGGTTTGCAGCAGGGGGTCAACGGGACAGATTATCAATGCAGCAGTTTATAGAAAAGCACTTAACTGTATTGGTCCAGTCCATCACCAAATTGAGAGGAACTCAATTAATCAGACTGGTTTCCTGATCTATTAGGTGGGTTTGTTATTTTTAAGGCGATGGGTTGCATGCACCAGATCTCTGGCCACCCCCCCACCCCCCCCCAAAACTGAATGAATGTTAAACCAAATCCTCTGGAAACCCTGTGGATTCTAACTTCTATTCTCTGAACGCCGTCTAAAGAAGTGCAGCCTCAGCGTTAGCCACAGATTCCGACCGCTGTGTGAACTTGTGTTTGTGATCCTCTCTGTGGATGTTCAATCAGCCCGGTGCTGGTTTAGAGCAGTCAGGCTGGTGGAGGTGTGTTTGAACAGGCTGCTCTGGTAGAGGGGCGGGGGGGGCTCACTTCCTGTTAGTTCACAATGTCCCTTTCTGTATCACGACCATCTCCCTTTTAAAGTGCAGAGAATGAGATCAGTGGTGAAATGGGGCCGGCTGCTGAATATCAGCCTGTCAGTTTTCGTAATGTTCGGATTGTTCTAAATTTCTTTTCTGTTTTTATTTTAGCTGACTTTTTATTACTGATATGTGATGTGTGAACTTACATTATCTCAAGGGGGAAACGTGTCTCTACCTACCAGGATTAAAGAAACAATCCAGAGTGAATATCGTACTGAAGGTGTATTGAAACAAGTTTGAACGTGTTTTCTAAAAATGTACCGTCTTTCTTTTCTAGCTGATATCACCCTGGCCGAATGGGGACGTAAGGCCATTGATATTGCAGAGAATGAGATGCCCGGTCTCATGAAGATGAGGGAGATGTACGGTCAGTCCAAGCCCCTGAAGGGCGCCCGCATCGCCGGCTGCCTTCACATGACCCTGCAGACCGCCGTGCTCATCGAGACTCTCACTGAGCTTGGAGCTGAGGTACAAACTACAGGCTGCTTTTAAAGGCTCGATCGCTTAGGACTTTAAGAAAAATGAAAACAATTAGTGTTTACAGTTTTCTTGCTAAACTTTGCCACGTTCTGCAGCAGAAAAAATGTGATGTATTTCATCTTGGAATTAATGCACATTTATTTTACAAGCTCGTGTTTAATTTGACAATGTTTTATTTATGTCAAGAGACACAAGCTGTGAAAATGTTAATCTCACAATGTAGACACTGATAAAACAAAATCATGGTTGTACCACTTTAATGGCTTCTTCTGCCAAGTCTGGTGGATTAGTAGTTTATTGTGTAATCCTGGTGATAAACATGCAGGTGTGAAAACCTAACCCCGAACATGCCGTCAGTGCTTTGTTCAAAAACTGGTTTTATTGAGCCGAGTTTACACAAATGATAAGTCAGTTTAATGAGCACGAGGATTAGCAGTCTGTGCAGACATGAATACACGTCTTCTGTAACGGGTCCTCATGCTGTCTCTTATACAAGGATGAGAGGACTTTGTCTCCACTGATGTCCAGTGATGTTTCAGTTCATTGTCCAGTCAAATATTTTCATGATTAGTCATACATTATCTTCAATAACAGTAGTTTGGTTGTGGATTTCTTTGTGCCTGTAGCTGTTCTCATAAACTCTATCTTGGGGTCTTGCAGAAGTGCACCGCAGCAGCAGACGAAGGGGAATGAGTTTGTTGATCCATTAATTGGAACAAAGTGTTTCAGTGAGTCTAGGATTGTGTCTCAAGGCCAGTGTGTTGTATTAGCGTGTTGGGTTTATCTTTAACCGGGACTGGTCTGTTCCTGCAGGAGCCTGCAGCCTGAGAACAAACACTGAAAAACAACCTGCTCTAATTTCCCTTTTCTGTTGTGGCGATAAGTCTGCAAACATAACAGAGTCTGTGTTTATCTGTTAAACTAGTCAAATGTTAGTATTCGTATCACTAAGCTGAATGATTTCATGCCCCTTGAGGCGTTGCAGCCCAACTGAGTGTTGTAGCTGTGTCATAAGGTGTCAGAGACTGGTGGTGGTCTGCACTGAGACTCTACTACACAGAACTCGGAGTCATACTCACCACCTGCAATTTAACTCTTACAGACACACAGCTGTAACTGTCAAACCTGTGAAAGTAACCTGGATAGAAACTGCTGATGTGAGACTGGATATCATTATGTGTAATCTCTGGTGTGTTTCCCCAGTCTACACACGTCATGCCCATTTTCACACGCATGTCCCTTCCTCCCACAGGTTCAGTGGTCGAGCTGTAACATCTTCTCCACCCAGGATCACGCCGCTGCCGCCATCGCCAAGGCCGGCGTTCCAGGTAACACACGCCTCCTGTTGGATATTCAAATGTCTCACCTGACTCTCGCTAAGGAAACCAACCAGTGTCCCTGTGTCTGCAGTGTACGCTTGGAAAGGTGAGACTGATGAGGAGTACATGTGGTGCATCGAGCAGACTCTGTACTTCAAGGATGGTCAGCCCCTCAACATGATCCTGGACGACGGAGGCGACCTGACCAACCTGGTCCACCAGAAGTACCCCAAACTGCTGTCAGGTCTGTTTCTATGAACCCGCTCACGCTCAATTCTACATGAGGTCTTGGTCTGTTTCCTTTTGGTACCTTTTCCCCACATTTCCATGAAAGAAGTTTGTAATTAAAAGATGTTTCTGGCTGGACATCAGTCATATTAATGTGTTTGTACAGTGAAGCAGTGATGCACTTGTTTTTTTTTTTCTTCCTGCCCCTCGAGGCGTTGCAGCCCAACTGTGAGTGTTGTAGCTGTGTCATAAGGTGGCAGAGAGAGACCGGTGGTGGTCTGCACTGAGACTCTACTACACAGAGGACTCGGAGTCATACACACCGCCCACAGTTAAATAATCAACGTGTAGCCGTGTTCAAAAACATCAAGTACACAGTAAATATTTTGTGACCCCGTGTTTTCAGGTATTCGTGGATTGTCGGAGGAGACTACTACAGGTGTTCACAACCTGTACAAGATGATGAAGAAGGGCGAGCTGAAGATCCCCGCCATCAACGTCAACGACTCCGTCACAAAGGTAACGAGCTTGAAGCCTCTTCAGCTGCATCCCGTCGCATGAATACGAGGCAGCAGAAATGTATTCGTCGTTTTCTTCTGGTCCTGAGTGACACTGAGAGTCGTTAGAAATGTCTGACTTGTGATAACCCGTGAAATAAAAAGTCTGACACTTGGGAGAACTCTCCCGTCTCTTCTCTGTTCTGTCAGGAGGAATAACACAGAACTTGTGTTCCGTCTGTCTCCTGCAGAGTAAGTTCGACAACCTGTACGGCTGCAGGGAAAGTCTGATCGACGGCATCAAGCGCGCCACTGATGTGATGATCGCTGGCAAAGTCGCCGTCGTGGCAGGTTACGGCGACGTGGGAAAGGGCTGCGTCCAGGCTCTGCGCGGCTTTGGAGCTAGAGTCATCGTCACCGAGGTCGACCCCATCAATGCCCTGCAGGCTGCCATGGAAGGTAGGTGACGAAGTTAAAGCTATGAACCGTGAATTTTAATCGTGGAGAGACGGCAACAGATAGTGTTTTCCATCAGATTTGAGATTAGGATTTGCCCCCAAGACTGAACGGCACAAATCTAAATGTGAACTCTTAAGCTGATTTCAGACATGACCTCTGGGTAAACTCCGCAGCCAATTCTCCAGAGTTTGACATGTGGCTTTAGTCAGTCAACAATACTAATACTGTCCTCTGGTTTTCTCCTTGTGTCTCTGCAGGTTATGAAGTTACCACCATGGAGGAAGCTTGTAAGGAAGGAAACATCTTCGTCACCACCACCGGCTGCGAGGACATCATCTTGGGACAGTAAGTTCAAGCGACTGTCGTGTTTGTGCAGTCGAACACTCGACTGAGTTCTCGTTGAACACCGTTGGCCCGGTGTCAAGTTTTTCTTTTCACCCTCAGACATTTCGAGCAAATGAAGGACGACGCCATCGTCTGTAACATTGGACACTTCGACTGTGAGATCGACATGGACTGGCTCAACAAGAACGCAGCAGCCAAGATCAACATCAAGCCACAGGTTGGAAGAACGAAAACAGATTTATTCTTGTTTGGTGTACATTTAAAATCTGACCCATCAGTGTGACTCCTCCTCCTCAGGTTGATCGCTATCGTATGAAGAACGGCCGTCACATCATCGTCCTGGCCGAGGGCAGACTGGTTAACCTGGGCTGTGCCATGGGACACCCGTCCTTCGTCATGAGCAACTCCTTCACCAACCAGGTACTGTTGAGTTTGTATGAACCACATTTAACCTTTTATAGGTTGATCCTGGAAAAAATTAAGAAAACGCCTCAAGATTCCAGTTAAAACCTCGTTAAAGACGAACTTGTTCAAACCTGAGTGTCACCTTCTGTTCTCTCCTGCAGGTGCTGGCTCAGATCGAGTTGTGGACAAACACAGATAAATACCCTTTGGGAGTTTACTTCTTGCCCAAGAAGGTCAGAACACACTCCACAAAGTAGTTTTGTGTTTTTAGTATCGTCTGTGTGATGTGGGGGGGGGGAAAAAACAACTTAAGTTTGCAGCTTTATATTTTAGAACAAAAGTTGATTAGATAATCAAAAACAAACTAGAATGTCACTGCACCAAATTTCACAAACGCAAAGAAATCAGTCACATGGAATTCTCCGGGAAATCGGACGAAGCATTCGCCCTCTTCACCAAATTTAACGAGTTCTTTTCTTCCAAAACTCGTAGAAGTGATAATAGTACATTTTGTGTCACAGATCGAGAAATGTTTTAAAACGAAGTGTTGGAGATGGATCAGGTTTTGAACTTTGTCGTCTTGTTTTCCTCATCAGCTGGACGAGCAGGTTGCAGCCGCTCACTTGGATAAACTGGGAGTGAAGCTGACCAAGCTGTCAGACAAGCAGGCCAAGTACCTGGGTCTGCCCAGCGAGGGGCCCTTCAAACCGGACCACTACCGCTACTGAGCCCGCCAGCCCGGCTGGGGAACAGATGGGACGAGGAGGTGTGGCTAGAAGGGGTTTGGCGTTTGGTGGATGGGAGCACTATGATTGTTTTTGGCCTGTTGCACTCTGGGTACCACTTGGGTTTCGGCCAAACATCAACCTTTCAGGGAAACTGACAGTTGTGTTGTTTTTAAAACAGCCTTCCATTTCAAATGCTTAAAGTATTTAGCATTGCGCTGCGTTTAAGTGATCCGACATGGCCGAAGTTCGACTCAAAGACCTTTTCTGCTTTGCTAAGTTGCTCCAACGTAATCCTCCAGCGAGCTGCTGTTTAATCACTTGTTCCTGGTTTGAAACGCGAACCCGCGTCGAAAAGACATCAACCCAAAGCTTCCATTGAGTATTTGTGTATATGGGACCCAGAAGCCACAAAAGATTGTGAACGTCTTTTGTTCAGAGCAGCCGCCAACCTCAGAATTTTAACTAAGAATCATCGTATTTTCCTCCGACACGCCGTCATTCACTGATTCCTTCGGTCTCATCAACACTCTGCTGAAACACCGTCTCGTGCTACTGTGACGTTCTTAAAGAGAACTCCTCTTGTTTGTGTCATTCCCTCTTCGTTTATGGAATCAAAGAAACCCTAATGGTTTTCTAGCTGGACTCTTTCCTCCGTCTCGCAGGGGCTCGAGGAACTTCATTTCTTCTTCTTCTTCTGAATCTTGAGGCAAACAGTTCTGTGTACAATGGCCTTATTCCGTTGTGCGTTCACATTAACACTGTCCCTGTGTTAGCACTTAAAAAAAAAAGAACTGTGCGAGAAGTCGGGAGACGCTCAAGAACATGCTTGGTGTGAAACAGGGTGTGTCCCCGCTTTAAAACGAGCGCCGCTGCCAAAGGAGCCACCAAAGCACGTCAAGCCTGATTTTTTTTTTTTTTTAAAGTCTTATTCTTTATCCTGCCTCATTTTCTTTTTTTATAGTGATTTATTTAATTTGACTGAAGGCCCTGATGCTGGGTGACAAGGGCCCAGGGTGGAGTTTAAAGTGGTCGCTGTTCTAAACGGTTACATCATGAGTCGGAGCTCAGCTGCTTCTAAACAAAGGATCCATGTTCAAACTGTGTGACGATAAAACCAACAAATTAAAAAGAAATTGGATTCTGGTTTGTTTCTCCTTATCTTCATGTTGTCAAATAAATTTTATCATGAAAAAGGTATAAACCCTAATTGAAGTGCCGGATCGAGGGACCGTTTTTATTATGTTAATTACTGGATAACATTTAAAAACTGGAGTTAGTTATATTTACTTTCAGTCTTCTACATGTTGAGTTTCGAATGACTTCATCTCTGAAAACAGACCCTCCTCTATAGAAGCAGGTCCGACTACATTTCTTTCAATCACAGATCTATAATCTTGTCATATCTGTATTTTAACGTCTGCAGCTGCACCAGTGATGGCTTGTTATTTTTCATTAGTCACACTTAGAGACGCCAAAGTCAAGCTTCTCCCATCTCAGGTCTGAGTTCAGGTCTGAGTGTTAAAGCTGCTCGGAAACAGGCCTCTGGTCTCTGAAGTGGTTTCTTGGAATCGAAGCTGCAGCAGCAACACAGACCAGAGATCCTCCGTCAGCTGAAAGCACCCGATAAGATCGACTACTGTCCCTCACATCAGGCCCCTCGGGGTTTCAATTTCATTATTAAAACTGAATTGACACAAAGCAGATGTTGGCGCAGCAGATTTCAATTGTTTTAAATCAGTTTCAGAACCACTCAGTCTGTTGATTGGATTAAAGCTCAGAGGTGGGATGGGGGGGAAAAAAAAAACTTTTTAAAACATGAAGTGACTGGAAAAGTAAAAATAAATCCTCTATGAAAACTGACCTGAGCTTTTAACTTCATGTATAAAAAAAATATTTGACGAAAGAGAAATGTGGAATTTATTTCGACTAATGATGCAGGAAAGACTCAACTGAAAGTTTTGGTTCAGTCTCAACAACCGACTGTTACTGCAGTTTAGTCTTTTCACAGGTCTTCAGTCTTCAGGAGACACGTCTGACAAACCAAAACACCTAATGTGCATTAATCCACCAGTGACAGTCGTCCTCAGCAAAACAAAACTTAAGAGTTGATAAAGATTTACTGTTCGTCAGGGTGGTTCTTAGTGTTTCACACTTTTTCTAAAGTTGTTCTGGTTCTATGAACTTTACAAGTCACAAATAAACCAGCGTAATTATTTCACATCAAAATGTAAATGAGTGTGAATGATCAGTGGTTAACTGTCTCTGCAGTAATAGTCCAGCAGGTGGCAGCGTGTCTTCTCTGGAAACTGCTTTGTGTGGTTGTTTCAAACTCATTCAGCGTCAATGATCACGCTGCTGAGTGTTTAAACTATTTATCTGAGTCACTTTAGACAAAACTTCAACTGGATTTAACCTGTTCTCACATAAATGTCTTGGATTCTAATTTAGGATGATTATCTCAGGTGTCTGGATGATATGATGGTATGGAGAACCTCAAGTGAAAGTATTTCATTAACTACAGTATTATTTAATTTTTAATT